CAGTGAAAATACAGTGGCTTCTGGATTTTCACTAACACTAGATTATAAAATTTCATTTTGTAGACCGTATGTCTTGTACCTCTTGTGAACTGTTACAACAGATGTTTGTGACAGTGACTGAAAATGCAGAGATGAAGAAAATATCACCTATGGTGTGAGAAGCTGGCAATCTACCCAGATGGAAAGACAGATCACAACAAAAATAGAACCAGATTGGAGGATCAGTTCCAGTATTGCCATTTGGGTTGATTTGGACAAATGTATGGGAGGCATTTGTTACAATGGCCTGAGTGCTTCCAGATCAGTTGCCAGTCTCTGATTTCCAGGATGCGAGCTTCTCTTCCAGGACTTTCTGTAGCAAAACAAACCAGGAGATTCTTCTGTCTGAAAAGAGACAAGTGTTACATGAGTGCTTTTAGAGCACCCTGTCAAACTGTCACTCAAACAAAAGCAAGGACATCTGCCTTTCAGAACAGTATTCTTAGTTCCAGAGTTTAGGTCTTCATAAGCATAGCAAAACTGTTACTTCTCCAGGAAGTTGCAAAACAGAAGTATTACATCCACTGTAGATAATCTTCTGAACTGGTTTCTGAGGATGCTGACTATCCCCTTCTGTCCCATCTTCTGGAAATGGTTTTGATTTCTCTGCTCAGAAATTGCTAGTTAGACATATTTCGGTCTGTTTCAGCATGATAGAGGAGGCCATGCTGGTGTGTTTCTATGCGGTTTTGGTTGTGTGGGGTTTTGTTTGTTTGTTTGTTTTGAGGATCAGTCTCCCTAGAAGTTGAAATAAGCCTTTTATTTCTCTGGGACCAATAAAACAGGCACTAGCATCTTTCTGAAGGAAAGTAATCCTGCTGTATGTGTTTCCTTTAGAAAGAGGTCAAGAACTGATGAGATCAACCTCTTTGGGTTTCAAAAGGGAACTAATGGTGAATGTAGACAGTAAAAAATGATGAATATGCGGTTTTCAGTGATTTGGGAGGTCTGGTGATAGAAACAAGTGCATATGAAGCACTAGGGTTTTGGGTTTTTTTAAGAAAACAGGCCATAAAAACTACACTGTAGTCTGCTTTGTATGGATACTAAGGGATCTGGAAACCATTGTAAAAGCTGAAAGATTCCCTTCGCCCCAGTATTACTGTGGAGTTTTCTCCCATCAATTCATTGCTGATCAGCACTGGTTGTCTGTCTTGTGTAACAGCTTTCCAGTATGAATTTTAAGTGTGTCACTATTTTAACAAAACTTCCATGGTGAACTGCCTTTATACAGAGAAATAGAAAACTGCACAGAGTGACTGCTTCACGCTTCAAGAAAATCGTTTATTTATAGTAATGACCACTTGTTGTCATAGCATTTTCCTGGTAGCAGGAGTCTTTCTTATTTGAGCTTTGTGCATTGTAACTGCTGAGGAGGGATACACTGTTCAGCAGCACCTCTTAATGCTCTGTTTGACTTTGGGTAATGTGTGTTACTACATGCAATGAGTATCCTCTCCAGTGGAGCAGCCTGTTTTGTATTTAATTCTTGCTGTCATTTTTCTTTTCCCTTCATGTCATAAGACAAACAGCATAAAATTCTCCCTTTCTCCATGTCTTCAGGTCACCAGGTTCTGGTTCACACATGTATTTTTTGAGTGGAGACAAAATGAATGCTATTTGATACAAATGACTTGTATTGTGAGAGAAGGGAAACGGACTCATTCAGCGACAACTGTCTTCCACCTTCTCAGAGGTAGATACTCTTGGCCCTGCCCTTTGTGTGCCACATCAGTGATGAGCAAGCATGCCACTAGCCTTACATTTAGAGCAAGTTGAGCAACTAAAATAATAAAGCAGCATTGTCCCCAGCTTCAACACCGGGCTTCTTCTTGAGTCGTCTTCCTCCTTTCTGTCTCCCTCTGCCAGTATAGAACAAGCATCAGCTTCTGCTGTGGTGGAGATTAGCCTGTGCTGGCTGCCTCGTGGGTACCTGAAGGTCTTGGATGTATCTGCCTTTCTCTCAGTTGGGACACTTTTAGAACCATCTCCTTTGTGTAGCTATTTTTCCATAGAAAGTGTAGGAGGAAATAATCTCAGAACTCTTTTCCTCTGAAAGACTTGCATTAAATGAGCTTAGCTCTTGATTTTGTTATTAACTGCAGAGAGCACAAGAAGCCAACAGACATTACCTATTCAGGTGGGAAATACTGATATGCATGTGAGGGAGGGCTGAAAAGAGAAGACTGAAAGATCATTGGCTAAGATCACTTACTGAGTGCATACTCACAACAGCAACTCGTAAGTGGTTTGCAAGGGATGTGCTCGAGTTCTTGTACCATCATGCTTTAAAAAAAAAAAGGAAGCACGAAAGATTGATCTTCTCCACTGTAGTAATTCCTTGTTCAAACATTAGATCTGTTCAGGGATTTCTGTAGGTGTAACTTGTGAAGAGTGTCTTAATGGTTATAGCTCAGGAGGGATCCTGCCAGGATTCTGCTGCTTTGCCTGCAGCTCTTCCTGGCGGAAGAACCTGTTTGTAGGAGCAGTGACTAGAAGCCAAGTTCCTCATGCACAGTCCAATAGACAATAGTCAGGGGCAGAAAGAAGAGAGAGCAGGCCTCTTGCCTTGGCAGAAAGCCCTGCCTGGATGTTGCAAGATGTGTGGGTAGAGCAGTGTTCTTCTCACAGTGTTGTCCCTTCCCTTAGCCCCCCCACCTTTGCAGGAGGAACTCTCCTGCTTTACTGCTTGTACTGAGCTGGAGGTGGCTGGGGGTAGCTTTGTGATTGCAATGTGGTGACACTGGTTGCCTACCTGAAGAGGAAGAGGTTAACCTTCAGGGGAATGTGGGAAGGTCCAAAAGTCCGGATTTCCTGGCCTCATGGGTGCTCAGGTTAGACTGTTCTGCAGAACTAGGTCAAAGGTGATGTGAGAAACCAGAAAATTTAGAAATTACTCTCTTGCTGTGATGTTGTCATATGTAGTCATGTTTAAAAACACTGCAGGCTGATCAAAGAGTCTGTCACACTGTTGTAAGGTGTTGCAAATGAATAATATGTTACTTTCAAGAGCAAATTACCTTTAAATATTTAAGACAAGCTTTTTTCTAAACAAAACTTCTGTCATTACCTCTATACAGCTTGAAGAATAAAAATATACAACTTTATTTCCTTTCATATTAATATTTAGTTTCAGAGGAAGCAGTAGCATTCTTAGTATTGACATGTCATGTTTACTAACTATAGGAGGTAAATATAGTATGTATTATGCTAGCTTTCTTCTGTAAAAAATAGATTGCTCTGTTGTGATAGATGTATTTTTTTTATATATGGATCTGAAAGAATTTCTTTTTATGTGGATGGTTCTTAATAATAACTTAATAATATTAAAATAACTACAGAAGCTGTAGTTATTTTAATACCTTTGCTGTACAGCTGTGGTGTCAATTGCTGAAATAATTCTTTGACATAATTTTTTTGGTGATGTGTAGAACCAACTTTAGCATTGGTTGGCATACTCTCACCAATATATTTGTGAAGTAGCTCGAGTGTTTGTTATCCACTTGAGCTGAGCTGCAGATTCCTCAATGGGATTTGCCTCCTCTGCCTAGTGACTTGCATCTTTTTGTCTCATCTGTAGTAAGATTTACTGTGTGTCTTTAATGCACAAGTTCACTATAGGGTTTGGAACAAAATATGAGGGCAACGTTAGTTACCTGCTTTACCTTAACTTTGCATTTTTATATAAACTGGAGTTTTTCAGTAAAAAAAAAAAGTTTCTCTAAATACACAATTCTTTACAGTGTCTGTGTAGGTAGTCTTAGCTGAAGAGGGTAACAGTGACATATGGAGTGTCCAAAGGAGTACAGGGGATGCAAAACATCCTTGATAAATAGACCACAAGGGAATCTCCTGCCCTTGAAGTCCTCTCCTTGGCCCTTTACAACTCAAGGGCTCTCTGGCTTGTTTGCCTGCGTGGTGCCATGGTGTTGCAAGAATTGCCTGCTTGGTTTGGGGTCTGCAAATGCTGTTTCTGTTTTTCTTTTCATAGAAAAGTTAGTCATCTCTTCATACAGTTAGAGGAATTTGGAATCTGTTAAGTAAGACTTCTTGCATTATTTTGCTAAGAAACATCTCTCCTGTCTCTGATGTTCTGTTTCAGGTCTTACACTTTCCTAGAACTCCTTTCTTCATACAGTTAGAGGAATTTGGAATCTGTTAAGTAAGACTTCTTGCATTATTTTGCTAAGAAACCTCTCTCCTGTCTCTGCTCTGTTTCAGGTCTTACACTTTCCTATAACTCCTTTAGTCACATCTTTGTGACACTTTTCCATTTTGAACATCTTTCTTAGGTGAACGTGCTGCTTGTGGAATATCTAAGTTTTCTGAAATCCATGTACATACCAAGGACTTTAAATCATTGTTTAAAAACAAAAAAGGCAAAAAAAAAACCCCTTTGTTTGTCTTCTTCTGGGTTCTGTCAAACACTTCAAGTTATAGATGGTGGAGTATGTGTTTCTTGTAGCAAGGAAAGATGATGAAATAGACTCACATAGTGGTGAAGGCTGAACTTGTTTAGTGTTATTGAAGTTATGTTGAGGAATCTCTCATCTGTGTAATGATATATCTCCTCTGCTGGTCTGATGTTCTGTGAGGTGGAAGTAGTGCGTAAGGTGTCTCAGGAAGCTGGATAATCATCTGCTATGCAATGGGAAATTAGGTATTTTTTCCTAAGAAGATGATCATAAGTGTAACCAGGATGAAGCAGTGAATAAGCTGATTAGAAAACAGTTTTAAAAAAATTTTGTCTTCTAACTAGCTCTTGTAAAGCATTTATCTTACTTTAAAAAAATTGTTGTGCAAGAGTAAATTACCATTAATGTTTTACCTTCCCCTTCATCTCAGGAACTTTTATTCCTAAGAAAGGAGTAGGAAGGTGGGCCAGTTCGGTTTTGTGTTTGCTAAAAGTGATTTCTCCCCCCGCTTTTTGCAGGTGAGATTAGTTTGGGGATGTGAATACAATGAGTGTAAACCAGCAAGCTCACACAGGGCCTCCTTATGGGCAACCTCAGCCTGGATATCAGGGATACCAGCAGCCTGCCTACGGAGGACAGCCATTGCCAGGGGCTGCTCCATCGCAATATGGAGCCTATAATGGTCCGATGCCAGGATATCAACAGCCAGTCCCTCCACAAGGTACTTCTCAGTCAAACCTTAATCATTCATAACCTGTGAATTGTTTGGTGCATGGAGGTTTTTTTCCTGTATACTTCCTATTGTTAGTCTTTCTTTTGTGTTAGCAACTATCTTTTCTCCTGTATGTAGCATTCACAATGTTGAAAATCACATTTTTCTTGTACATTCTGAGGTTACTGTTCTGTCATTTGTCTATTTTAGTAGGGCTTACTCTTCTTTTAATAGCTTATAAAATTGATGTGTTGAAAACCACAGCCTGCTTTTTCCTCCTATGTCCCCACCCCTGCAGTACAGAAGCACCTGACTAGGACAGTCTTCCTGAGGAGGTTACGTTGGGGGGCAGCAGTTAGGTTCTGTGACAGACCTATAACTGAGACTGCCTTATGTTATTATGTGGAAAGATCTGCACCCCATCCTGACAGTTTAAAACATATGGATTCAGGCTGAAAGCATATTTGGAGCTATTTTCTCTAATGCCTTTAAAATCAATAGAAAGTTTGTGGACGTGTGGCAAGCTAGTGTGTTCCACATTTTCCTTGGTTCTGCAGGATTGTACCACTTGTTGGTGTTTTTTTGTTTAAAAAAAAAAGAGTAGGTCAACTTTTTTTTTTTTTTTCCCCCTGTTTTCAAGCAAAAAGCTAACTTAAAACTGTTAAAGAACTTGAGGAATTTTTGTTTCCAAGTACCTGAATTACTTTGGGAGATTAATAGTAATTAATTTAACATCTGAGTTGTAGAGGAGAAAATACTGTTGTTTTGAGTAGAACTATTTCTGGCTTTCAAAATCATGTGAATTAATTCAGTTCTGCTGACATAAGGGCAACACAGATTTCAGCTCTGAAGTGTTTGTTTTAATTTCAGTTTCAAAAGGAAAGTGCTAATCATGCTGATGGTCTTGATATTATTTTTCCCCCAAGTACATCTTGAATTTTCTGCAATTTCTTGAATTTGAAACCAGACTCGGTGAGAAGGGTAGAACAATCAAAGTGTCTATAGCTCTCTAGAAACTAACAGAAGAGGGAGACTGAAATTTGGAAGCTAAATAATTACCCTCTTGGTTTTTTTTTGTCTGGAGTTAGAAGGGTAGTGGAGTAGAAGAGTTAGTGTGGTGTGCTGAAGAATGGGTTATTCAGTTGCTCCATCTTCCTTTTCCTTCTTTAATCTTCTTCCTCCCCTCCTCTCAAATCTCTTCTGACAGCACTTCTAATCTGTGAGCTTTGAACTAATTTCACCAAGGGTTTAAATTCCTGTAAACGTAATAAAAATCAGCACTGCACAGAGGAGGAAAACCCTGCTTCCTGGGAAGAGAGAGGCAGGGCTCAGCCTTGGAGCACTCTCTTTGGCTACTCAGTGTAGTCATTGACTAAATAGTGCTCCCTGTTCCATGGAAGGAATGGGAAGAAATTTGACTTAGTTCAGTGAGGCAGAGACCAAAACTGGAGTATCGACTCTGCTGCTAGCTGAAAATAGCTGCTTCTTGCTGTGAGAATATTGACTGTCTTTCAGTCAGTCTATCAGTTTCTTTCTGATGAGATCATGCAGTTGAAAGTGCAAATGCAATTATCTGAATATCAGTAATAATTAGGCTGCCCTTGGGTAGTTTTAGGCAGGCTCAGTTTACGGTAGTATTAACACTTGTATGAATGTTAATATTTGAACTATGTTGGTGGTATGTTATGTGTGGTAGAACAGTGAGGAGGAAGTATAGCCTAGGGAATAATGTGGTAAATGTGACATGGATTTTTTTTTTCCCTATATGGTGTTTTCTGCACTGCTGACTGTCCTCAGCATTGGAAACACTGTCTCTTGGTGCTTTCTCTCAGGCTTGACTCACTGGTGTATTCTGTCTTTCCAGGGTACTTTCCTTCCTTGGGGTTCCCTTCGAAGGGCTCTCCTGTATCTCTCAACTCTGACACTTCTTCTCTTGCACCTAATTTCATAGGTAAATGGTGTCCTTTCTGTCGGAGTGTTTGTGCTGTGCCACTTTGTGCCAAGTTCCCATTTAATATGGATATTTATCTCAAAGGTGTGGGTACTTGGGTATTCAGGAAGAGGTGGGTGGAACACTTTCCAATCTGTTTGTAGGCAGCAATCCAAAAACATAAATAAGATATGTAGAAATAGGCCTTGTAGAAATCCCTTATGCCTGCAGATTCATAGATGAAACCTCACTTGTGACTGATGTTTTCTGAAGACTAATTTCAAAACCTGAATTGGCCTGTTTGGGTTCTGTCAGAGAGAATCCTTAGCTTAAAGGAGTGTAGTCTCCCACTTGAGAGAGAACTAAAATGTGAGGTTTGAAACGATAGCACTGCAATGAAGAAATGAAAGATCTTCCCAAGCATTAGGGGGTTGTTATTGGAAGTCAGGAGATTTTTGTAACTTGTGCTTTCATTGAGGAGGAAAAAGAAGTTTTTAGCTTCCTTGGTTGCAGCATAGGAGCCAAATGCATATTAGTAATAACTGTAATTCCAAAAGCTGAGGCTTGAAGAAGAAGCACTTCTGCAAAGCTAGCAATCAAGATGTAAGAATTAGAAACACTGCAAGGAAATCACATTATATTTTTCCTTCTTTCCAACTAATAGTATCTTTGAAGTGTTATTTGCAGCAGTGCTAATTTGTTTAGAAGAACAGAGTCAAAACTGAGCCGAGACTGTATAGTCTTGGGCATTTGAGTAAAACCACAGGAATTTCCCATTTTGGTGAAATCTACCTCCATTTTGAGGTCTGTGATGAATAAGAACAATATCTCAGAGCTGTTGATGGGGAAATTCAAGATTCCTCAGCAATAATGAACATTAAGCTTATAAACCGCCTGATATTCATACGTATCCAAATGTTTTTTTTTTCACTGGCTATTTGAGCAGTCTGGTAACAGTTACAAAAGTACATTTGTGACAAGAACTAGAAAAAGAAGACTTCAGAAGCCTTTTTTTAAGTAAGCATGTATTTGTCAAATTGTATGCCTGTTCAAGCTGAGAAGGAAAAGTTAACATAATGTAAAAAAAAAAAAAGTGTAGCATCCCTTCAGGAATTGGATAAAATATGCTTTCAAAGACAAAAGATAACAATGCCAAACACTTTACATGTACTATGAAAGGAAGGAGATTCCAAAACAGATGAAAGTGTATGAAATCAGCTGGAAAGGTATCACAAAAGTCATTCCGAAACAGAAATACCACACAAGATAAAAATAGTTAGAGATGGGGAAATGCTTAGCCAGAGGAGTAGCAAGACAAAAGTGCTGTAACAAGAGTTTAGAAAAGGCAAGATTTAATGAGATGAAGGTATACTAGGTACTTTTAAGTCCTAAGTCTCAAAATTAAGAACAGGAGGAGGTTTAATAATAAAAAAGTCCTAAGAAATGACTGATTCTTCATACAAGGCCTAGTTAATTCCCTCCTTAAATTTGCATCTACAAGCTTACTAAGAATTGCACATGGCAGATAAGGTAAAACTATATGTCTTGAAACCTCATTATTTGATGTATAAATTACACAGCAGAGTTGAGAAATGGCTTCTCTTATTTCCTATTTCATACTGGTTCCTCACAAGAAGTTTCCAGAGTCCCTTGTAACTTGTCACTCTGGTCACTGTCAGAGACACCCAACATTCTGTGTGTGCTGCCCTGGCCTCATGGAGCAGTTCAGCCACACCCCATACATGAAATAGTTCCCTTGTGTTTAGCAGGCATCATTATACAATTGTTCTGATTATCAGCACTTTTAACAAGTTAAAGTAGAAGCTTATATTCCCTTTTTTGGAAGTAGATGCTGCAAGGTGGTCTGCTGGTATTGTATACAGCACTGTGCAGGCTGTGGAAAGTGAAGATTTGTTTCTGAGGCAAATATGTTTGGGCTGTGACTGAACCAGCTCAATCTGAAAGATGAGAAAGTGGTCCTGTTAGCTTCCAAACTTGAGAGGTTTGGAAGAGCAGTCTGTGGTGGCCCCCATTATGTTTATATACAAAAGCAGTTAGTTGGGTGTAATTTTTGAAAACTGAATCTACCCACATAACCTGCTTACCTTTCAAGTAGGGAAAACTGATCTGTAACAAACATTAGGTTTCATTTGAATAGTTTCCTTGGTCTGGATTAAAATAATTGGACTTGGAGAGGGGAGAATTGAATACCTTACTGAGAAGATAACACTTTTTTTCTTCATCAAAAGATGAAATTGTCTTTTGAAGACCCTCCACAGTACATATTTTCTACTTGGTCGGTGTGGAGATGGTGATTAGTGACATTGGCTACAAATGTATGCTTTCAGTTTTGCTATTTCTAATATTGCTGTGCAAATTATTTGTTGCTCATGGAGCGTTGATACATCAATCTGGCCACTGCTGAAATGTTTCTGCACTTTTTTTTTTCTATTTTCTGGAATTCTCAGGGTAGTTGGTTTAAACCCTTGTTTCTGTAATATGTGATGTGGAGGTTGGTTGGTTTGTTTGTTTGTTTTTAACTTTTACCTTTATGTCTGTAGGTTCATTAAGAGCCCCTCCAACATCAGGAGCTCCTCCTCCTGCCTCTGGAGCATCTCTCCCTTCTGGACACCTGGCATACAGTCAATTTGGACATGGAGATGTGCAGAATGGGATTCCAGCCTCAGCAGCCTCAATGCAGAGGTATGTACAAGGAGAGCAAGTCATAGCAAAGGCCTGCCTTGGTAGACCTATGCTAGCACTAAACCTTCTAGAATCTAAACTAAATAATCCAAACTAAATAATTTGGTTTTCCTATGGTGTTTCTTTATTGCTTCCTTGTTGTTTTGGAACAACATTTTGCCATAGGGATATTTGTTAGACAATAAAAATCTCTGGGGATGAAAGACTTCTGGAAGGATATGAGAAGATGTCAATGACTGATCAAAACTACTTCTCCAATGACTTTCTTTGGGATAGTAATTTTCCTATAAAGAATTTTCTGATTCCCATAATGTGTCTTGTTTTTAAACAACTGCATCCACTGATTCCTTGGCAGTGTGAATTGATCTCTGTCTGGAGCATGTTGCTGTCTGTCATTACTGAGTAGTACCTTTGTATTGGTTCTGGGTCCCTTTCTGTCAGTTATGGATCCTTGAGTTATCCTCATTTTAAGTTCTTGAGCACCTTCTCCAGGAAGATTTTACCATTACTTCTGTGGTGAAAGTAGCAGCAGTCCTCACTACTTCTTTCTGATTACTGGTGATGGGGGAAGGTTGTTGGGTTTTCTTTCTTACCGGATAAAGCTCAGCACTATCTCCTGGAGAGTCCAAATCCTTTGAGCAACAGAGCATTCTTAATAGCTGTGCAGACCTTACTGTTACTCTCTAGACCATGTGGCAGTATTTCTGACCTGTTGCAACTGAAATGGAATTAACAAAAAATACTATAAAGATACCATTTGTATTTTAAGAACTAACAGATTTATTTTTAATGAAGGGGCTTCAGATCCATGCAGGATCTATAATTATTTTGCTGAAAGTAAGCTACAGTGCCTCATGTAAATAACTGAGACTTGAGTAGTGTTTGTGTGGCAGAACAATTTTAAAAGACACGGAGAATTGTAACTGCTTCTGTAATGGGGAATCCAGTGAAGTTTCTCATCTTCCTCCTCAGGCCACCTGCGTCGCAGCCATTTCTGCCAGGTTCAGCACCCACGCCTGTCAGCCCAACACCCACCTTCCAGCAATATGGTCCCCCCCCAGCCAGTGTACAGCAGCTCAGCAATCACATGGCAGGGATGACAATTGGCAGTACTACAGCTTCTGCTCCTCCCCCAGCTGGACTGGGCTATGGTGAGGTTTCCTGGCTACAGAAATACACTATTGCTTTTCATTTATAACAGTAATTTCATAAAAGATTTGCTCTTGTCAGTGATTCATGACCATATGGTGATGGGAATTCTCTGGGTGTTGCTATCTGCCATAGTAAACAGTAATTTCCTTCACTAATGAGGTCATCGTTGGGGAAAACAGAACTGAGTTTTTTGTAGGGGACAGTGGAGGAAGTACTACAGGACACAAATAACAACAGAGAGTAACAATATTTCTCCTCAACCAGATGAATCTTGGTGTGAAACAGAAAACCAACCTATCCCTAAATAAGCTGTTAGAGGGTCTACGTGCCTTGCCATTCTTAGGCAGCAGCCCAGTAAAAAAAAAAAGAAAAGGAAAAAGGGCTCAGTAAATCAAAAGAGGGTTGAAACTATTCTGAATGATTCTGTGAATGGTTTTTCTAGAAAAAGAAACTTAAACAGTATAAGCTGAATTTACGTATTTTGTGCTATGTTATTAGATCTACAGTCCCACTGCTGTAGATTACAGGACTTTTTTTTAATTGAAGACTAGAGATTTGCCTTTAGTATGTGTAAGCTGATCTCTGCTTGGTAAGGTACTCTTTGACAAGTGTCTCATACTCTAGCACAGACTTCACAGGAAAAGTAGGAGTAGGGGATGCACATTTCTCCAGCCTTTTGGCAACGTGTCTAAAAATATCCTTGGAGATATTACAGTGGTACATACAGAGGGTGCTAGTTGCATGCTGTCAAAACCACAAAGCTCAAAACTTTACTTATTTACTTCAGTTCAGGAAATCAGTAGACAGACTTGTGGTCGTTCTTGTTTTACATACCCCATCTTTGTCCCTTTCTTGTGGCCCTGAATGCTAAAATGCATTACGTAAATAAGAAGCTAAGACTGGGAGAGAGGACAATGACAGAACTATCAAGTGTCAGATTCATTGGAGGAGTTTTAGCTCTCTGATCAATTTAGGAGGGTGTTCACTTAATGTTTGTCTCTCTTAGTACTGTCACATCCATCTGAAGATGAGAAAATCACAGACCAACTTAGATGATCTAGAGCAAATGAGTTTTGTTTGCATCTTAATTTTCCTGAGGATAGACAAAAATAAAATTGTTATATCTTCTTTTCATCTTATCAGGTCCCCCAACATCGGTTCCCCCAGTCTCAGGAAGCTTTAGTGCAACAGGATCTGGTCTCTACACACCTTACACTGCAAGCCAAGGACCCCCTCCCACCACTGTGTCTCAGGGTCTTCCTTTGGCACAGCCTCCGTTTCCTGGTCAACCGATATCAACTCAGCGCCTGCCAGCTCAAGTCCCTGGTTTTGCCCCACCTCCCTCTTCTACAGGGCTTGGACCTTCCTCTTACCCTCCTACCACAGGTGCCCCAAGGGCACCTACCATGCCAGGCCCACCACTGCCTGGGCAGACAGTTGCTGGTCCACCAACATCCCAGCCTAATCATGTATCCTCACCACCACCTCTATCAGCTATGCCAGGGCCACACCCTGGACCTCCCATGAGTGGCCTCCATGGACCACCACCTCCCACTCATCCTCCTCAGCCAGGATACCAAATGCAGCAGAATGGTGAGTATTCCCTAGGATAGGAATTGTAAGTTACATGCATTTTCCATGTGCTGCAAACTGAGAACTGGATTTCAGGTTTGTTACTTGTGGGCTTCTGGCTGCACTTCAGAACTTACCTCGTTTCCCTGTGCTCATGTCTGAAGGACAAATCCAAGATAAACAGTAGGATGTGTCACTATAAGATGTTTGTGATACAGGGTTTAATCAGAGTAATGTAACTAAAGGAGTCCTGTCACTTGGCCAAAAGGTTGTTTAGTAATTAGTGCCATAATACTACAAGAATTTGTGATCAAAATTTTATTATGAACCTTAATTTGGTACCTGCAACTTCATCTGTTCAAAAGTAGAGATCTGAAATCCTAAAAAGCCTTATGTATTTATTTTTTTTTAAATTTGCAGCCAGTATGCATATATAGTGAGTATGAGAGGAGTTGTTACACATTGAAGAGGAGTTGCTGTCACTTCTTCAATTCACAAAATTATGTATTTTTGTCCGTGTAGAACTTTTCACATTTTGTGTGTACTTAAAGTAATACCAGTTAAGATTTCTGAATTAAAAAGTTTTGGCTGATTTTTAATCAGTAACATTTACAGATAGCTAGGATAAAATAATCATGTGCCAGTGTGAGGACTGAGAATCCCATCCTCCATGCAGCTTTGCACAACTGGCCAGGTAAATGACTTAAAATGTCTGTCCAAATTGTGATGAACTGTAAAAACACTAATGGGGTATATCATGCTGTTAGTCTGTAACCGACTGAAATTGCCTAAAGTGATATGAAATAACTTCAGGTAGTTGCAAAACAAAAGAGATAATCACACATTAACCTATTACTGTAATTTCTGACAAGCCTAAACTGCCTGAGAGAACTCCTTGCATACCTTTAGTTCATGGGTCATCCAGTAGTTTATTTGGCTGTTACGTGCACTTTGTTAGGCAGCCCTGCAGTTTAACTTAGGTGTTCATAAGGTATGATCAGAATGTATATTGCCATCACATTGCTCTAAAAGTAGTTAGCTAGTCTAGAAGCCTACGTTTCCTTATGTCTGGTTTTAAAGATGACTGTATCCATCATTTTTTTGGATCATTGTAGGGAAGTACAGGTCTATGCTGAAACACCATGATAAATGTGTTTTATCCTAATTAACTGAAAAGCACACAACTTTCTCCTCTTGTTTTTTGACAATGACAGGAAAAGTGGAAAGTGCCTAATGAGGAAACACCTAGTATTGGTTATTGTTTCATTTTGCTGTCCCTTTCTTCTAAGGTTCCTTTGGGCAGGTGAGGGGTCCCCAACCAAACTATGGGGGAGCCTATCCAGGAACACCAAATTATGGAAGTCAGCCTGGACCACCACCTCCACCAAAACGCTTGGATCCTGATTCCATTCCTAGCCCTGTAAGCTTGCTTTGTTCTTACCAGTGTGAACTCTTCTGTAGTGTCTGTATGTAAAACAGAACTGATAAAGACCAAAGCTAGAAACAGGTTTCCTATTCCAAAGGGCATCCGTCTGGTTTCCTCCCTGCTTCTTTGTCATATATCCAGCTTCAGTCTTTTCTTACGAGTAGGCCCAGCAGCAGTAATTTCCTTGATGACTAAAGAAAGGCACTGCATATGCAAATCAATGCTCTGATTCTTTCTCTGTACTGTCTTACGTTTTGAGAATCCTTGAGGGCTTTGATTAAGCTTGGTTCTCCATTTCTAGGTTCTTGCTTAATGATTTTCCACGGTGAATTAATTTCAGTTTTTGAAGTGACCACCTATGAACAGTAGGATCCATGTTTAAAGTATGGTTAATAGGAGATGATTGTAGTGCTTTTCCATTCCCTTTTCCTATAATCTGTCAAAAAGCTGGGTAGTGTTTTTTTGAGTCATTAAATCGTGACAGTACTTCAGTCAGATATCCACAACTTCTCAAATTAGGATTATTTTACAGAATGGAGGTTCTGAGAAGGGAGCAGCAGTAACGTGTAATGGTTCACAGCAATGAGTAATATTAAGCCTGGCAGTCACTAGTCTGCTGTGCTGTTCCTTCCATTGCTGCTGCTGTTCTTTTACTGTCTCAGAAGGCCAAAGTCATTTGATAACAGGAAACCTTACCAGGGCAGTGCTTACAATCCATTTACTTAAAAACTATAGAAATAGTTTAGTCTTGAGTTACATCTTAGGTCTGGACTGGTGCTGTTCAGAAATCACTGCTATTCAAAAAAGAGTATGTGACTCTAGATTTATGTAAAGTTTATGACCGTGGTGTTTTTTTTTTTTTGTAGAATATAGGAAGCCTTTAATTGCTTGTCTGCTTCTCTTCTCTTCCACTAAATGAGATCTCAAATGGCTTGTGTCATTTGCCTTCGTTTTAGCATGTTCTTGAAGTGTAAATACCCGGTTTCTAACCAAAATGAGCACGTGAGCCACTACCTCTCTTAGCAAATGTGTTCAGAGCCCAAGCCCAATAACCTGGCAAGGCTGGTTTGGGGATCAGTGTCTGCAGAGGCTGGTATTTCCTGTTGCATGAACCAGTGTCCAAATGTATCTAATTCCATTGCTACAGGTTTGAGTACAGAGAAGTAACACTGTTACTTTTTGGTTTATGATTCTCTTTTCTTGCTTTTTATTAAAAAAAAAAAAAAAGCAACTTAATGAGCTACCACCCCAGCAGAAACCCAGGCACAGAATAGACCCAGATGCAATTCCTAGTCCAGTAAGTGCTGTATGTCTGTCAATTGTAGTCTGTGTGTTGGTGACCATCTGTGCATGTCTGAAACCTCAACTTCACCTTGCTAACCCTCCATCATTAATCCTTCACCCTTTCCTTGCTGTCTTCTGCTTGCCTTATAAAAATGATTAACATTACACCACAAGAGGTTCTTAAAAATCTTTTCTGTGATAAGCAGTGAGGCAGTAGAAAAGCAGACCATTTCAGAAACAGATCATGAAGAATGTCTCCCCTTCACTTTGATCTTTAGACTCTTTCCTTCATTGGATTTCAACTGACATTTTCAGTGTAAGCCATTAGTATAAAAGTCCATAAGACGTGCCTCTCATGTTAACACAGATGCAACATGAGCCTTTGTCGTCATATTTTCTACCAATTTTGAGCAGAATTTAACTACTTTTCATGTTGATATATCAGTATTGTGTATGCTAATGCTTTGAAGTTCTAAAATTGCACATGAACTGTTTTGTTTTGATGTTAATTCCTGATAAAAATCTTCTAGTAGATTAATATGAGGCGTGGGGAGCTATTAACATTCTCTCATTATCTGTGCTCATACATTACCATTCAATTTTGAATCTGAAAATGTTATATGTGTACAGTATCTTACTAAAGGGGAAAAAAAGCAGCTACCTTTCGGATCAGGAAAAAAAAACCAAAACAACAACAAAAAAACCCCATATTTTACTTAGTTACCCTTATGTCATGAGACCCTTATGCCACTTCTTCCTTGTTTAGCTAAATTTGTGGTATATAACAGGTACCAGTGGTGAGAGGACCAGTGTTAGTCTGTAGACTTTTGAACAGGGACTAGATTTATCCTAGAGCAGTTGGTGTCTAATGCTATGGGAAGCTTTGTCCTGGTGACTTGGAATCCTTAGTGAGAGGGTAGAAGTTCTGCCATGCAAACGTCATCATTTCATGATTTACTCTTAAGCAAAGCCATGCATGTTTGGTGGCATAATAAGATCAGAAGAATGATTTCTTTAATGCTTTTATTCAGGCACAAGTATGCAAATGTAGTAAGAACTATGTATAACTACAACTTTCTGTTCTTACACAAAGGTCAATGGATATTTTAGTCAAGTAAAGTTGTTCAATGCATTTACATCTTAAACATATTTACATTAATGTAGAGTTTGAGATACTAAGAAATTTAAGATTTTTACTGTCTGTGAAGTTTAAGTTTGAGTCATTGGCAGATCTATTGAAGCTTTACTTTCCACATCCTCAGAATTAAGTTCACAAACTCTTGAGCACCACAGAGTAATAAGGACTCCCACCTGAGCTTGCAAGCATCTGGCTTTAGGTCAGAATTACAATGGTTAGAAGTAAACACATATTATGAAAGCAGTAGGAATGTAACAGAAAGGAGAAGCCATGTTATCTGTAGAACTTCAGCCTGAGGATTACAGAAGCTTCTAATTTTAATTTGGCTAGGACAGTATAGAGTGAAATACTATAAAGAATTCCTTTCTTGATCAATGTTTGACTTTTATGAGCTCAGATTAAGCATTAAACCACAAAATATACTACTACTGAAAATATTCAGGGGAAAAATACTATTTGTAGGTTGTAATTTAAGTACTATTTGAAATCAAACTGAGAGGTGACTGCTTGACAAAACTTACTTGCTTTAGACTTCTTATTTTTAGAGGTAGTAATGTTTGTCTGATGTCCCTTTCAGTGCCTTACATATCTAAATTTTGTATTTTACAGTCATTTGAAAACAAGCCTCCAAATATTAATGTTTTCTATCATAGATTCAAGTGATTGAAGATGACAGAAACAACCGTGGGTCAGAACCATTTGTCACTGGAGTGAGAGGGCAGGTCCCACCTCTTGTTACTACAAATTTCTTGGTCAAGGATCAAGGTAAAATATTTTTCTTTTCCTAAACAAAACAAATCACAAGTAGTCATGGACAGAACTGTGTATGTCTTTAAAGAAGAAGTTTGAGGAATTATTTCAGTCTCGTCTGATGTCCCTTTCAGTGCCTTACATATCTAAATTTTGTATTTTACAGTCATTTGAAAACAAGCCTCCAAATATTAATGTTTTCTATCATAGATTCAAGTGATTGAAGATGACAGAAACAACCGTGGGTCAGAACCATTTGTCACTGGAGTGAGAGGGCAGGTCCCACCTCTTGTTACTACAAATTTCTTGGTCAAGGATCAAGGTAAAATATTTTGCTTTTCCTAAACAAAACACAAATCACAAGTAGTCATGGATAGAACTGTGTATGTCTTTAAAGAAAAAGTCTGAGGAATTACTTCAGTCTCTGGGGATGTGTGTTTTACCAGCTGAAGCTCAGTTTCAAGTCCTGTGTTGATTTGATCTCGGTTTAAATTCTTCTTATTTTTTGGTAGCTAGTAACTGATTTGCAAGCAAAAAAAATGTTTTCCAAGGCACGTACCTGGGACCAGCATTAGCAGAGATATCAGAAAGCAGCAAATGAAGCCTCTTCTTAACTGTTATTGGTACATAGAACTGACATTTGCTAGCAATATCATTTGAACTGTACCAACAACTGTGATTTTTTTTTTTAATCAAGTGGGGTGTCAGTTGGTCCATAGGCTTCATAGAGAAAGGATATGTCTTCTTTTAATTTCCCATGCTATTTTGATATTTAAAGCCCCCTTAAAACTTCAGGATCCAATTCTGCAATCAAGTACTTTACTCTTCAGCCTAAATTACAAAATCCAACAGTAGAAATGTTTGAGTTGAGTTTTCTGCCTATAATATGTTTTAGTCTGCAAAAAGAATGAAAGAGGAATACTTCTTTAGAGGTTCAAGTTGATGTGGAGTCAAGTTCATTTTGAGTTAAGGGCTTTTACTATACACAGCTAAATCATAAAGAGGCATTTTGTTTGGAATTCAAGTTTTGCAGAGGTTGAAATTCATAGAATCGTAGAATGGTTTAGGTTGGAAGAGACCTTAAAGATCATCTAGTCCAACCCCATACCATGGGCAAGGACACCTCCCACTAGACCAGGCTGCTGAAAGCCCCATCCAGCCTAGTCTTGAGCACCTGCAGTGATGGAGCATCCATAACTTCCCTGAGCAACCTGTTCTAGTGTCTTACCACCCTCCCAGTGAAGAATTTCTTAATTTCTTGTCTAAGTCTACTCTCCTCCAGTTTGAAGCCATCACCCCTTGTCCTGTTACTACAAGCCCTTGTGAAAAGTCCTTCCCCAGGGACTTTTTCATTGATTGTTTAGATAAGCTTAGTCTCTGTGACTTAACACAACTGAAGGTGTCATTGTTTCTGTTCTTGAATATAAACATCTCCTGAAATATGTGGGGGTATTTTCCTTTGTTCCCCAGGTAATGCAAGCCCCCGCTACATAAGATGCACGTCTTACAATATTCCCTGCACCTCAGATATGGCCAAACAGTCCCAAGTTCCCCTGGCTGCTGTCATCAAACCGCTGGCTACTCTGCCCCCAGAGGAGGTGAGAACCATGTGTGGGGTTACTCTGGACTCATGGGGAGAATACTGTTAGATATCAACACTTAGCAGATATGTTGAGAAGGAATGTTTAGGTAAATGAAGACTAGGTAAACACCACGAGTGCGTGGCCTGTGTAAGGCAGAAGAATGTTGTCATGGTGATCAAAATATTACATGTTTTGAACACCATTTAATCTTTTTTCCAATAACTGTCAAGCACTATGATCAAATATTAGGACGATCACAATGTGCACACTTCCAGTTGATCTTAATTTCTGTCTTGGCCTGAAGTACTGAAGTGGTTGCTCATCACTGATGTTAAACTTCTTCTAGGTTGTCAAGTTGTGGAATTGAATGGGAATGTATCAAGCAGCACTGGTTAAGCTGTCTAGTGTGCATGTACATGGACACCACTGCTTGGCTGACAGCATAAGACTGAGGACTGGGCACTGCTGAACTGCACTTGTATTTCTGCCCTTGCTCTTTGCAGCATTTCCTTCTAGGTGTAATGTGTGGCTAGCTGACCTTTTACCCACTCTGACTGCTGAGAACATTAAAGCTTTGAGAATGTTCTAGAGCTAGAAATTGTATTGAATATTCTAAATACTCCAGCTACTGTTCAGTGTTAGCCTGCTTGGAGCAATGACATAAAGACAGATATGCCTGTTAAATTGGAATACATATGTTTACAGTATTCTGTGCCCTGTTGTGTTTAACTTCAGCATCTACTGAGGAAAGAGTATCCTCTGGGCTTTTAAGGGTGTTTTTTTCCTGTAGCTTTTCACTAAAGTTTCTAAACCATGGTTTGGATTTTGAAAACTGGTTTGTGATAAAACTGAGTTGTGAAGTTAATTCCTGTGTTGCTGTATTGCGGGTGAAGTTTAAAAGGAGCACAATAGGAGAGTGTGGTCTTATTTAGAAACCTGGAGGCTTGTGGAGCTGCACATTTTTAGAGAAGCTTTACAAACAACTAGTTGTTTGGTCTCCTGGTGTGTTTGTGCTTTGAACAAACACTTGTGATGTCCAGAAAAAAAACATGTCTAGGATCAGAAAATTACTCTGGAGACCAGTCAGCTTCTAGCATGATGAAGTTCTTTATGGCAAGAGAAAACTCCCTTCCCAATAGATGAGGGCTCAGTTATTCAGAGTAGTAAGACTGTAAATAGAGCTAAAGCTTAACGTATCAGTAATGAGAGGATAAATGTCTCATGACAGTACAGTGTTGAGATGGATCTAGAATATAAGAATTCAGAACCTGATTGCCAGATCAGGACCTTTGCCTTATGCTAACACACAGTTCAGAAAGCAAAGCTTAAGGCTTTGGAGAGAAGTATCTCTGTGCTTTCTGGGAGAAAGCAGTTAGTGACAAGTCGTGCATAGCACTGCGTGTTTACAACACCCTTATAGTCTGTGTGCATGTATGTTAGTGGGGGAGAGGCTGAGGAAAAAAGCTTACTGTGTGGAAGTACAATACCAACATTGCCTCTCAGTCAGAAAACTTCAAATTGTGTTTGCTCTGAGGAGGTCAGCCTGGGCAATAGGAGCTGAGAAATGCTGGCTGCAAAACCATTGTATTGCTGATAAATGATTAGTGGGGATGAATGAGAGATGTGACACTCTGTCTCATGAAAAGGAAGAAAGTGACTGGAGCATTTGCTCAGCTCCTGTTCAGTGAATATATTGTGTCTTAAACATGATCAGAGGTTTAGGGTTACTCGGAGAATTAAGGCTGGACACCTTTAGTGTCAGGAAAATTAAAAATAAGTAGTAAAACTTTTTTTTTGAGCTAGCTTCTTAGTTACACTGAAAGGGGTTTTGAACTATGAATGCAGCTTGTAGCTTGCACAAGTGGTCTTAATAATTTTAAAGTGCTTCCTTCCCGTTATAAGGTTGGGAAGGTGTAGAAAGTTGCCAAGCATCTTGTTCTGGCTTGGCTGCAAAAAAGATATTATCAGTAATAGTTCAAAAATGGTATCACTACATAACAGTTTTGAGGACTTGCTATATAAGGGGGTCAAGAGAAGTGGAATGTATGGATGTACTGTATTTCATGATAAGCTTCAAAAATAAGGCTTACCAGCTGAAATTTTTTGAGATAGTCTGGATACTCTGTTACTGAATGACTGGTTTCTGTTTTGTCCAAAAGCTTGCTTTTTACAAGGGGAAAAATATAAGAGGTGAAGAGTTGCTTTTAAAACACCCAGCCCATGGTGAAATGTAAATTGTATGCTCACTCCCAGGAGGTTATCACAGCTATTCATGCATGGCTTCAGTGTTCTGTGTTCACTTGGGTTACATCTGTCAGGCTATGTGATGTGGTACTCCTGCTAGAGCTCATGCTCCTCAAGCAGGCTACCATATAAGGTCTGGCAGCACCCTGTAGAAGTACTTGTTTGTGTCCAAGTGGGATAACTCATTAATGAATGCAGCCCACAAAACTGCTGTGCTAAAGCTGGAGTTGAAAAGCATTTACAAAATAGTTGTTCAGACTTCCCTTGTCCCTTGCACTCTCTCCCACAGCTGCCAAAATGTTAAATCCTATGCAATATGCAGGGGAATAGTTTTAAGCTCTGCAATATGTGTGGCCATTTCTTTTTTCACCAGCATGTGACTTTATTTTTTTTCTCCCTCTGCTTCCACAGCCCCTTCCTTATTTGGTAGACCATGGAGAATCTGGTCCTGTCCGATGTAATAGGTGCAAGGCTTACATGTGCCCTTTTATGCAGTTCATTGAGGGTGGAAGGAGGTTCCAGTGCTGTTTCTGCAGCTGTGTCACTGAGGGTAAGGTTTCTTCTGTAAATTGGCCTCCAGGCTCTACTGGAGCAACGTTTGAACAAGCTGCAAGCAAATAAATCATGTTATGATAATTTATAATGTATACTGTGCTTTAATGTGTGTTTAGTCTTGTAAAAAAAAATCATTATAAAGCATGTTCAGTACTCAGTTCTGAAATTATGTACAAATTAAATGGGTGCTTATGTATTCCAGTAGCATTGTTCCAGATTTTTAACATGAGGTACTTGTACCATAATGTATGGTGGTTTGAAAAATTATTTATGGTATTTTCTCAGGGTATTTAAAATTGTATTTTTCTGTGACAGACTGAGATACACATCTCATCAGTAACATGAGTTAGGATCTCTTTTTTTTCATTATTCAGAAATCCTGTTTAAGCACTGCTTAGAAATCAGGTTGCAGCTAAATCGGCTACAGCTGAATAGAAGTGTTCAGTATATGCCAGTAAATCTTAGTTACTCTTCTAAATTAATATAAAACATGCTTTCTTTTAAGTAGAAGTCACTCTGTGCTGCTCGTAGCATGATATCTGTAGGTTTGTTTTGAAAGTGCAGTGGAATGTAAGATCCAATAAGGCTGATGGTTGTTTGTAAGTGTTCCATTTGGTAGCACTGTTGGTTTTTAATGGACTGTTGCTGTCACCTCAGTTACGCTGTACAACCGTTTGTACAAACCAAAATGGGAAGCTGGTGGCTGTTAGGAATGGCCAACCTTAAAAACCATTTTTGTCTGCTGATTTTTTGGCCTTTGTGCATTGCCTGTCCCTGCTCACTCAGCAGCTGTATGAATGGCTGTACCTGTAACAGCTGAGCAGGGGCAGAAGAGGGAGGGATGCTCAGACTGCTGACGAAAGCAATACTGTGAAAATACAATGTAGCTGTACCTAATACTTGAGAACAATTTCTGTTTTCTCTGCAAAAACAATCAGGTTATATTGGATGTGTACTTGGAGAGGAGAAGAGTGGTAGGTACTTAAATATATCATCTTAACAATATCACTTTGTTTTCTTTTTAACTGTTAAAACTTTGAGCGTTTAGAGCAATTTAAAGGTGGTAAATACTATAATCACAGTCTAATTTTATCCTCCCCTGGAGCTATGTAAGCAGCTATAACTGAAATACATTTGGTCACCCTAGAAATTCTGGAGGAGGGACTCCTTGGGACACAAGTAGAGTAGTCCTTGGGACACAAGGGAAATGCTTTCTTTGTTTCTGCAGCTGACTTTTGCAGAGGAAAACTTAGCTTAACTCCTGTTTTACTTCCTGATGCCTGCTGCCAGCACAAAAGTACTGGGCACTGGGCATTTGGTTACACTTCCAGTTCTTCCTTCATGTCTTACAATCCACTGCAAGAAGTACCCCACTGATTCTAATTAAACAATAAATAAGGAGCTCTGAGTTGAATCAGTCATGTTGTAGCTTGTAGTTTGTCTCAAACTGTATCGTAAATAATTGGTTGCTACTAATAAAAGATCATTTTATTTTTCCTTTGGACTAAATCCATCCAAAGAATCTGAAGAGCATGTTGTCATGACGTTTCTGTAAGATGAGAATGTAAAGGAGATTTGGGGAAACTACAGTAGTGACTATACAGTCTGCTACCTGGTACATGAGACAAACTGGAAGTCTGTATTTCTTGGCTTTAATTATGTTTTAAATTGCATTGATATTTTTAGTAATACTTGCATGCTCACACAAAGGACTATCTAACTTTCCTGGAGTTTTATTTAAAACAGCTGTTGACACATTAGCTCTCTAGTCTCAGTGTTTATGGTGGGCAAGTCACTGAAGTTAATGATTTTTTCCTTTCCCAGTGCCAGCTCACTATTTCCAGCATTTGGATCACACTGGAAAGCGAGTAGACTTCTATGACAGACCTGAGTTATCAATGGGGTCTTACGAGTTTCTAGCAACAGTTGACTATTGCAAGGTATAGCCATGTGTGTTTACTACTGTATTTTGTTTTGCTTTTAAATAAAAAGCCTATTTTCCTAAAATTAAGAATTATATGAATTGTCTGGGCCTGCTTTCTAGCTGATAGAGGTAATTAACAACACTAATTCAACATACTTAATTGTATAAAAAAAAGTGCTAGTCTGTTTACTTCCCAAAGTAGAGGAAGTCTTGATCACATGTGGCAGAATATAATTTTATTATAGGTGCCTCAGTCATTCTCTTGTGGAGCTATATAAGGAGTTACAGCTGCTGTTACCTTAGCAGTTCTGCAGGGGAAACTCTCTTGCAGTAGTCCTTGGGGCAGAAGGAGAATGTAGGAGAGATTCAATAAAAGTACAATAGTAACAATGCAATTTGCCAGTTGTTGCCCAAGACTTTACCTGTTGAACTGAAATTTTAAACATGGCCATGTATTTGTTAAAAATACCTAAAACATAAAAATACTCTGTGTGTGTGGTGTTTTTTTTTTTTTTTTCTGTTAAAACCATAAAAATACTGTGGAAATACATGTCAATAATGGTTCATTTTTAAATTAAAGATGTAAATAATTAACTTATAAGCAATAGGAAATGTATGTGCAAGGTGGTTATTAAACCAACTTATGTCTCTACTGAAATAAACGAGTTCTTATTTATGAGTTCTTCCTCAACATGAGGAGAATTTCTTTACTGTAAGGGTTACAGAGCACTGGAACAGGCACCCCAGGGAGGTTGTAGAGTCTCCTTCCATGAGGACATTTAAGACCTGTCTGGATGTTTGACCTGCCCTAGACTAGATGGCCCTGCTCTGGCAGGGGGGTTGGACTTCATGATCTCCAGAGGTCCCTTCCAACCCCTAACAGTCTGTGATTCTGTGGAATGCTGGGAAAATAGGTGTCTAATTGTTGCAACTTTATATTAGTACCTTCAGGTGCCTCAGCTTTACTTTAAGTTAAGGGAAAAACCAATTATCTTGTTTCTAACAGCAAAAGAAACATTTTTAATTCCAATGAGATGCTATCTTTCCAGCGTTTTGAAAGTTCTTCTGTTTTCCTTTTTTTGTTTGGTCGTTCCAATATGACATATAGACTTCAGAAAACTGTTGACTGAAAGAAGTTTTTCTTTTCCAAAGCAAAGCTGATAATTAAGTAAAATGAAAAGGCTGCAGTTCTCAGAGAAGGAAAATATTTTGCTTTATATTGATGAAATCACTTATAATAAGTCTGGTCAGATTCCAAAGTCTTGAGAACTGGCAGGTAACTTCCCTGTCTACTTTCCCTATCTGGCCTTGTTATGTAAATGAATGATGTAGTTATAGCTAACATGTTCTCCACTGAGCAGTGTCAAAATCAGTCTAGGGGATGTGATACCAGGCAATTTCAAAGGCAGTGTGGTTACATGTCTGTTAGTTGGGCAGGTATGGGAGAATGGTCTGAAGAAACAGCTACTGCTCATGAGTAGAAAGTACATGAAAGCTATTAGTTTTGACCAGCATTCATTTGTCTGTGTTAGAGAGCTGTTATGTGGGCTGCATTACATGGCCTTAATGTGAATTCTTCCCTCTCTTCTACAGAATAACAAGTTTCCCAGTCCACCTGCTTTCATCTTCATGATTGATGTGTCTTACAATGCTGTGAAGAGTGGTTTAGTGAGGCTAATATGTGAAGAATTAAAGTCACTCCTAGATTACCTGCCCAGGTAGGTATATTGTGTACCACTGTAGTCAGTCAAAGTGGGAGAAACTGCCACTTTTTCCCTTTAAAAAGAAAAAGCTAGAAATTAAAAAAAATAAATTTATAATCCCATCAAGCTTTTCTTCACAAGAATGCCAAGTGGAACACCTTACTGGATACCCTTCTAGGTGAAGATAAATTTTCCTTCCTTTCATTTTTTCCCATTATCCCTTAGTGTGTTGGGTTCTGTCTGACAATTTCACTATCTACTTAGATGTGAAGGCAAGTATGTCTCTTGCAGGGAAGGCACCATGGAAGAATCAGCCATTCGAGTAGGCTTTGTCACATACAACAAAGTGTTACACTTCTATAACGTGAAGAGCTCGCTGGCACAGCCACAGATGATGGTTGTCTCAGATGTGGCAGATATGTTTGTGCCACTTCTGGATGGCTTTCTGGTGAATGTGAATGAGTCCAGGACAGTTATAACCAGGTAACAGAAACTGATTTACAATGTGTGTAGTAGACTTCTCTGGTAGATTCAAGTGTTGCATGGTTAGTTGTCATCATCTGTGAGTCACTCCATTTTTTAACTTCCTATATCCTTTGAGATTAAGCTGGCAAAGTAAGATGAGAAAATTCATGGGATAAGGGTGTATTTGGCTTATAGTCCAGCTTGGCAGTCAGTATATATGAGGGGATTTAGTGCAGAAGGGCATTTCTGGGAATTAAATGTAACACGGCTAGAATGGTGCAGAGTGAAGGTCATAAGGATACTGAATCCCTGTCTTTAAGGCAACTGCCTAAATAACTGTAAACTGAGACAACAAGGGCATTTAATTTTGTTTCCCTGGAGAAAAGTTAATGAGTGGAAAAGATAAAATCTAGAAGGAAAGAAAAAGAAATTAGCAAACTTTGGGCAATTTATTTAACATGATACTGGAACTGTAATTAAACTATGATGTGTAGCTAACTACATCTAGCACTGCATGTTTTTAAAGAAAATTTCTAGACTGTTTTGTAGAGCATTAACAAGCATAAATATAAAATTGGGAGCTAAATCTGTTCATCTTTGAATAGGACACAAGATGCTTTGCAAACAATGGCCAAGTGTCACTAGTCTTTCCTAGGAGTTTACTTGCCAGTGTATTGAAAGGGAAGGAATACAGAAGAGCTACTGGAGTAGGCATCAGTTGACGCTATACAGAAAGCACTGAGGATATGGATGAGAGAACCCAGGGAAGAATAACAAATCATTGGGTTTTTACAGATGAATTATGAGATGCTAAATATTGTTAAAATTATGCAAATTTACAGTTATGTTAGGGTCTTCTGTTTAAACCAGCTCAGTCTCATAGGTTGACTGCAACTTTGTGGCTTTTACAGTTAAATGCGATCTTGAATTCCTCCTTTTCCTTGTTCTTTCCTAGTTTGCTGGATCAGATTCCAGAAATGTTTGCAGACACAAGAGAAACAGAAACTGTTTTTGCACCTGTGATTCAAGCAGGGCTGGAGGCGCTGAAGGTTAGTAAATGCATTGTCATGCCAAATTGTTTTCAGTGAACTCTGAAGTTCACCTTCTGTTAAGACACACCAAAAAGACACGGGTTAAGCTTTTCTTAAGTCTCCTTGTGGTAGATGTGCTACATGTAGGGAGCACATGGCTCATTTTTCAAGTGAATGTACCTCCAGTTCTGTGTAGCTCTCTCTCTGTTCCCTAGCCAATTTTTTTTTTTCCCCAATAGTTTTTGCTCAAAGTACAAGACATGTGGCTTACTCTGTTACCTGGCTGAGTTTTGCTTTGAACCACTTACAGAACCTACCAAAAAAAAAAAAATAAAAAAGAGCCCTTTCAACATTAAAATTGAGTGTTGAAGTCTTGTCATGTCTCATTGACAAGTTCTGTAACATTGTGTCTTTCTAATCCTGTGCTTGAACTTCTGGTACCATCTTAAATAAAGGGAAAGAATGCAGTTTGTTGAAGTTGCCCACAACAGTGTGCTGCATAAACCTTTCCTGAAGTTCTTCCATTCTGTTACCTCATTCAGATAATTGCATGCATGATCTAACTCAGACTGGTATATACTAATCAAATTGATTGCCTCTATGATTCTGTCCAAAACTGTTCATATAGCTCTATTTGTCATTTAAGTCCTTAGAAGTGTCTCTTAAACTCAGTTTTCATGACAGTTGTTCAATCAAGAAACAATGTCAATTACTTATTGATTGTTTACATTCTGCATGTGTCAGAGAAAGCCTACTAAACATCAGCTAGTGTTGACATAGGTTATTGATTTAATGATCTGTTGGAGCTCAGTTACAACATCCTTCACCATTTCTGTGACTCTTCCTCACAAATTCAGTAGCTGCAGATCAGAGAAGAAAGCAGTCTTAAAACATTTGTGTAAAACCTTTTGCAGCTAAGTCCTGCTTACTGCTCTCTGTTTCCTTGGAGCCAGTCTTTTTCTCCCTGCCATGGAAATAGCACAGATCCAGTAGAACTGGAACTTGCTTTTCTGTAACTGCCCAGTGAGGTATGCTCCCTGTGTTGGATACCACTGAAGTAACCAAGTGGTCACTGAGCCTGTGTGTCTGATTGAGAGCCTTCCTGACATAAAGAAGTGATGAGAGTGCTTGAATACTTGTTCATATTACACAGATTTCCTTACAATTTTTGGAAATGTTTCTAACCCGTGCTATTGCACCCTCTTTCCTGCAGGCAGCTGAGTGTGCTGGCAAGCTCTTCATTTTCCATACCTCTCTGCCTGTTGCAGAGGCCCCAGGGAAGTTAAAGAACAGGGATGATAAAAAACTGGTCAACACAGATAAGGAGAAGGTAATGACTTGTATGATACATACATAACAGGTCTATATTATACTCTTTATGGGCTAAAATAACTCTGAAGCAACATTTGAAAAATTACAAGGGTAGGATGTAATGTAACCATCCAGTGTTTTTTAACATTGCACTTTTATCTTCTTTTCTCATGCAGAGCTGTGTAGACTTAACATCATAAGGTTAGCTCTGGTATGAGAACAAAAAGAGATCTGTATTCTCAAATGGGATGAAATACCATAGCTGGGTTAAAGTAAATGTGTTGAGTTTATAATTAAAGCATTGTGTGTAGTAGTTTTCCTAGCATTGAACAGTTCTTCAAAGGCAGGCTCAGGAAGAGTTTATATGATCCTTATTTCCCTAATGAGAGACTTAAAGTATAAAAGTAACTGCATCCAGTTCTGGAGCCCCCAGTACAAGAGGGACATGATGCTGCTGGAGCGTGTCCAGAGAAGGGCCACGAGAATGATCCAAGGGCTGGAGCAGCTCTGCTGTGAGGACAGACTGAGAGAGTTGGGGCTGTTCAGTCTGGAGAAGGCTCTGAGGTGACCTTATTGTGGCCTTCCAGTATCTTAGGGTGGCTACAAGAAAACTGGGGAGGGACTTTTTAGGCTATCGAGTAACGACAGGACTAGGGGGAATGGGGCAAAGCTGGAAGTGGGCAGATTCAGGCTGGATGTGAGGAAGAAGTTCTTCCCCATGAGAGTGGTGAGACCCTGGCATGGGTTGCCCAGGGAGGTGGTTGAGGCCCCATCCCTGGGGGTCTTTAAGGCCAGGCTGGAGGAGGCTCTGGGCAGCCTGATCTAGTGGGAGGTGTCCCTGCTCATGGCAGAGGGGTTGGAACTGAGGGATCCTTGTGGTCCCTTCCAACCCTGACAGATTCTGATCTGTTTTAGCAGAGGACTTAGTAGTGTTGGCTTAATGGTGGGACTTGATGATCTTAAAGGTCTCTTCCAACCTAAAGGATTCTATGAGTCTAAGTGTATCGACTGGGATTATAAATTGTATCTTAGTTTCCTTTTCGTACCACAAACTTGTGATCTCATCTCTGACTTCCTTTCTTAGACTTTATTTCAACCACAGACAAGCTTTTACAACAACTTGGCCAAGGACTGTGTGGCCCAGGGGTGCTGTGTTGATCTGTTCCTGTTTCCAAATCAGTATTTGGATGTGGCAACATTAGGTGTGGTAACTTACCAGACAGGAGGCTCCATTTATAAATACGCGTATTTCCAGGTAAGAGTGGCATCCAGCTAAGGCTGGTATTGGATATAAATAATCCTTTTGTTAAGAGCTCTTCTTCATAGCGTGAGGCATAGTGAACAGGCAATTCTTTAGAAATAAATTGCTACTTAAATTTCAGGATTTTTACCAAAATGATTTAGTTAGCTTTGTCTTTACAGGAAATGTCTCTATTAATAACAAAACCAACAACAGGCCAAGCTATGTTTTATGAGCGGGGCACTGAACCCTGTGTGATGGCTGATGTTTAGAGTAAGACTGCAGGAGATGGTATCTGTTTTTAAATTACATAGTGGTTTATGGAGCAGCTCTCAGGGGAGTATGAAACTTGAATTATTGTTTGTGTTCTAGCTGGAGACAGACCAGGATAGATTCCTGAATGACTTGAGAAGAGATGTCCAGAAAGAAGTGGGATTTGATGCTGTAATGAGAGTGCGCACAAGCACAGGTGGGTGTTAGCGTGAATGAGACTTAAAAAATAGACCATTTCAAGTATGTCATATAGGAAGGAACAGACTTTTCCCTAATTTAAAACATACTGAGACTAGACTATGCAAAACCCTCTGCTACAACTTTGAAATTCTGAGACTGAGCAAAGATCCCTGGTGAAATCTGTCAAGACAACTTAGTGTCAACAATGACAGGATTTTCAGGGCTCTAAAGGCTGTCTTGTTATTCTGATGAAAATTGTGGTTCATTTGTGTTTTTTTTTTTTCCTTTTTAGGTATTCGAGCAACTGACTTTTTTGGAGCTTTCTATATGAGCAATACAACTGATGTAGAGATGGCAGGTTTGGACTGTGATAAAACAATCACAGTGGAATTCAAGCACGATGACAAACTGAGTGAAGACAGTGGTGCACTCCTTCAGGTGAGAGGGGAGGCTTTCTAGGAGAAAGTGAGCTGACAGTTATAATTAACAAACCTGTGTCAAGGCAGAACCAAATCTCAAATGGAGAGAGTACCTCTTGCAGAAGGGGATGAGGTTGCTCTAAACTGAATTATTAGATGCTCCTTCAAGGAACTCTTAGCTCATTCTCTCTGTCTCTTAGTATACCCTTAAATTTTCAGTGTCCTTGTTCTCAGTCTCACTTAGATTGCTGCAAACTACAGTCTTATTTTCCAAGATCAGTTCCCTCAATAGAAACTTCTAACATTGCTGCTTACTGTCTTTCACTCACCCCAATTTGTAGCACATGCTTTTGGCTTACCATACAAATCTTCTACATAATTATCTTATTTAGTCATCTGAATCCTAGTTTCTAATGAAATATATTCAGACCCTGCCTTTCTCATTGGAGCAGGACCTCATTTTTCTCTATCTGGCCTTTTTGTCTCCTGCAGTGTGCTCTGTTATATACAAGCTGTGCAGGACAGCGACGACTCCGCATCCACAACCTTTCCTTAAACTGCTGCACACAGCTCGCTGACCTCTATCGAAACTGTGAGACGGACACGCTCATCAATTACTTGGCTAAATATGGTAAGAAAAATAGCAGTCTTTAACTGCTGTTAAAATGCTTGTTGTCATCCAAGGACTTGTTTGTTCTCTTTGCATCAAATGTCAGATGGCAGTCCTGATACTTCATTCATTTAGAGGAGCATAAAGCTGTGATGATAGTGCTGTTGCATAGGATGAAAGGTAGAGATAAGGGGTGTAGGCTTGTCCTTCATACAAATTCTTGTCTAATTTTTTTTTTAATAGAGGTTTGTATTGACAGCTGTGTGAATTCATCCTTGTATGTGTTTTTAGATCATTTTAGTTTGTTCTTTAACTGTTGCAGAATTTTGCTCTGGAGGTAGGAAACGATAGCCTGTGCTTATAGTCCTGGCTTAAATATCATACTTTGATGTACTGTATCCTATTTATTTACCCATTATAGTTTGCACTAAAAGCCTACAAATCCAGAGATTTATCGCCATTAAAGTGTAAGGAAAAGTCCATTTTCAATCCATTAAAGAAAGATGGCCAGGCTATAAGAGAAGCTTTTATAGTACACCATGCTTTCAAGTATTGCTAAGCATATCTTAAAGTACATGGGAGATAGAGAGTTGGAGAATATGTAATAATATGGTGTAAATGAGCTTCTTCAGATACTCAGTAGGAGTGTATTTTCTCTTTCCCACAAGTTTGAAGGGGAGGGGGAAAAAATTTTAATTGCTTTTTAGATGTACTTTGTGGAAGTAGTGTTGGGATTCTTACTGTTCATGAGCAATTGCTTGATAGCTGTCCATCTCTCTTCTCTCTGCAGCATATCGTGGAGTTCTGAGTAGTCCAGTGAAGACTGTCCGAGATGCACTGATCAGCCAGTGTGCCCAGATCCTAGCTTGCTACCGAAAGAACTGTGCTAGTCCCTCTTCTGCTGGCCAGGTAAACTCTGGTGCTTTCACCTGAATGACAGACTCGGGTATTAAAAGGTGATGAGAGCTTCATCCTACTTAACCTACTAAAAAAAAAGTCAGTTGGTTTGCTCAGCAGAAACTTGCAAAGAGAAGACTCAGGGAAGTGGAGAGACTGCAAGTAAAACTACAGTTGAGAATGGCTTCTTGGACATCTGTCTGAAGCCCAGGAAGCACTGCCTGCTCCAAGGAGAAGTTTTATGTTTCTTTTACAAGTCCATGATATAATTAGACAGCTTTCACTCCTCACAGATGTACAATGCTTTGTTGGTTCATGCAAGCCTTGCTTTGTCAAACATAAGCTTATTCACATCTGTCTCAAAGATTCCTCAAAGGAAAGGGTCTTTGCACAGGAGCTGGCCAGGCTTATTGAAAGGACTTCAAACTAGATTTGAAGGGGGAAAGGAACAAAACAACGTTTGACAGAGGACAGCCTGGGAGCAGCACACCAATGCCTGAGGGATGCTCTGCTAGTGAGGTCCTTCAGTCTGCTGTCTCAGTGGAGGAAGGAGACCCCTGCGGCAGCAAAGATGTTGGAAGCCACAAAACCCCCTGAGAATGGTCATGTAGAGGATAGGACTTCTGCCCATCAAAAGGTGTCAGGATCAGTAACCCACCTGAAGTGTATCTACACCAATGCACACAGCATGGACAACAGACAGGAGGAGGTGGAAGCCCCTATGCAGCTAGAAGACACCCATCTACAAGAAGGGCCACAAGGAGCATTTGGGGAACTGCAGGCCTGTCAGTCTCACCTCAATGCCAGGGAATGTTATGGAGCAGAACATCTTGAGTACCACTGTGAGACACATACAGGGCAACCAAGGGTTTAGGCCCAGTCAGCATGGTCTTCTGAAAGATGGCCCCTGCTTGACTAATGTGATCTCCTTCTATGACTATCTGCCTAGTGGATGAGGGAGAAGCTGTGGATGTTGTGTACCTGGACTGTAGTGAAACCTATAACAATGTTGCCCACAGTGTCCTTCTGGAGAAACTGGCTGCTCATGGTTTGGGCAAGTGTACTCTGAGTATTAAATGGCTAGATGGCTGGGCCCAAAATATAGTGAATTGGAGTTAAATCCAATTGGCGGCCAGTCACAAGTGGTGATCCCCAGGGCTCAGTACTGGGGTCTGTTCTCTTTAATAATTTTGTCTATGATCTGGACGAGGGGGTTGAGGACATCTTAAGTAAGTTTTCAGACAGCTGGGCAGGAATGTTGATCTGCTTGAAGGTAGGGAGGCTCTTCAGAGGGATCTGAACAGGCTGGATTGATGGGCTGAGGCCAGTTCTATGAAATTCAACAGTGCCAAGTGCCAGGTCCTCCACTTGTGCCACAACAACTCTATGCAATGCCACAGGCTTGAGGAAGAGTGGCTGGAAAGCTGCCCAGTGGAAAAAGGCCTGGAGGTGTTGATCAACAGCTGTCTGAATATGAGACAGCTGTGTGTCCAGGTGGCCAAGATGGCCAACAGCGTCCTGGATGTATCAGAAAGTGTGTGGCCAGCAAGACTAGGAAAGTGCTTGTCCCCCTGTACGTGGCACTGCTGAGGCCACACCTCAAGTACTGTGTGGAGTTTTTGGCCCCTCACTGTGAGAAGGATATAGAGGTCTGGAGTGTGTCCAAAGGAGTACAGTGGAGCTGATGAAAAGTCAAGAGAACAAGTCTTCTGAGGAGTGGCTTTTTAGGGTTGTTTAGCCTGAAGAAAAGGAGGCTCAGGGGAGACATTATCACTCTCTATAGTTACCAGAAAGGAGGTTGTACTGAGGTGGGGGTTGGTCTGTTCTCTCAAGTAACAACTGATAGGACAAGAGGAAATAGCCTCAAGTTGCACCAGGGGAGTTTTAGATTGGATTTTAGCAAAAACTTCTCCTCCAAAAGTTACCAAGCATTGGAACAGGCTACCCAAGGAGGGGATGGAATCACCACCCCTGGATGTATTTTAAAAATGTGTAGATGAAGTGGTTAGGGACCTGGTTTAGTGGTGGACTTGGTATGGTTAAGTTAATGGTTGGACTCAATGATCTTACATTTTTTTTCCAACTGAAGCGATTCTATGATCAGCACGACAGCTGACCAGCTTCTGTCTGCTTGTGACTTGTAGCTGATTCTCCCCGAATGCATGAAGCTGCTTCCTGTGTACTTGAATTGTGTGTTGAAGAGTGACGTCCTCCAGCCTGGTCCGGAGGTCACAACGGATGACCGCGCCTACATCCGTCAGTTAGTGACATCCATGGATGTGGCAGAAACAAATGTTTTCTTTTACCCCAGGCTTTTGCCTCTGGTGAGTACTTCAGGATATTCTTACCACTTGAGATTTGCTGTTGTCTTGACTTGTCATAAGTTCTTTTACCCCAGGCTTTTGCCTCTGGTGAGTACTTCAGGATATTCTTACCACTTGAGATTTGCTGTTGTCTTGACTCGTCATAAGAACTGGCATTTATATTTTAGTAAGGGGAAACAGTTTGAGAAGAATTTGGAATCTTGCCGTCTGTTGGGCTGCTTCACTTAATTGTGCTCAGTGTACCACTTGAGATTTGCTGTTGTCTTGACTTGTCATAAGAACTGGCATTTATATTTTAGTAAGGGGGAAACAGTTTGAGAAGAATTTGGAGTCTTGCTGTCTGTTGGGATGCTCAGTGATAGATGCAGTAATGCATCTTGTGAATTTGCTGGGGGATTTTTTTTCTAAGCTATGAGCATATGACTAGTGTCTGATAAGACACTTCTGACCCTTCCCTAGTGTTCTGAAAGTCCTAAAACTTATAGTACCTTTTATGTAGTAATTTTCGTCATTGCAGGATGACTCCACATACGATTCTGGCTTTTCAGTATTGTAGTTGCTGGAATAACACTAACTACTAATGATGTTCCTACTGCAGGAGGTAATATTGGAACTGCAGAGTAATTTGACAGAAGCCTTATGTTCTTTTCTGCTGAGCAAGAGTCTTTGATCTGATTGTGTCACATTCAGTAAGAAAACTAGGTGAAGGAAGGTAATACTTCAGGCAGAGCTGTTGCAGTTTTATGTGTCCTAGAAACAAGAAAACCATTGGGGTCTTAGTGGCAGAAATTTTCAGCACTTTGTAAGATGTTCTTATTTTATAACCTTTTGTTTTATTTTTTTATTTCACTCTGAACAGACCAAAGCAGATGTTGACAGTGACTCCTTGCCAGCAGCAATCCGGAACTCAGAAGAACGTCTCTCCAAGGGTGACATATACCTGCTGGAGAACGGGCTGAACATCTTTGTGTGGGTGGGAGTCAACGTGCAGCAAGGCCTGATCCAGAACCTCTTTGGAGTGTCATCCTTTGGTCAGATTAGCAAGGCCTTGGTGAGCTGGATGGCAGCGTGCGAACTCGTGTCGGTTGCAGTCACCACAAACTTTAAGCAATGAGAAAGCAGCTTGAGGAAATAGTATTAAATTTTTCAAACTAAAACCAAAGGAAGCACAGAGCTGCGAAACTAGTGGGAGTGTCCCTAGTCTGGGCATGTTGGGCATACTTTTGCCTAGCTTTATTTGACAAGCAACATCTCCACTGGCAGTGAGAACAGTTGATATGTAAATGCAATGAATACTTAACCATTAATTCTGATACCATGTTATACACTCTCTTAACTAGTTGAGGTCAAAGAGACTGTATTAGTGGGGGTAAGGATATTTCTACCCTTACGTGTAATATGATAAAACTACTAATTTCTGTTCAGTGTTGCTCTTCTTTGTGTGACTAATGGGTTTTGTATAACTTCCATTCCAGAGTACCCTGCCTGTCTTGGACAACCCCTTTTCAAAGAAAGTACGAGCTATTGTGGACATGCTTCAAATGCAGAGATCCCGCTACATGAAGGTAAAAACGTTGGTCCCCCATTTGTCCCTTTAAATCCCCTTCCCTTTCCACAGAGCAGGTGATGCCTGGTGATGCTGCAATGCTGAACGAATTCTGCCTGATCTCATAAATGTGATTCAAACAATTTTCAAGGATCTGAAAAAAAATGTATTGCTAGTTTTGGAGTTCTGTGCTTGCCATAGTTCTAAAATAAATATTTTTTTTAGCCCTATATGCTGTTGCACAAACTGTGTACATGAGCTTAACCCAGCTCAGTTACAGAAGTCAAAGCACATAAGCCATGTATGCTGAAATTCTTTTTTTTTTTTTCAAGTCATAGAATTCTATGATTCTATTTGTCTTCTAGATTTTTTTTGAGCTATTTAGCTCTTTGTTCTTTTTTCAAAGAGCATTAACTCTGTTAACTACTCACTGTTGGTTTTGTTCTTGTTTCTGGTTTTTGTAGTTGATAGTTGTGAAGCAAGAAGATAAGCTGGAAATGCTTTTCAAACACTTTCTAGTGGAGGACAAGAGCCTGAATGGGGGAGCTTCATATGTGGACTTCCTGTGTCACATGCACAAGGAGATTCGGCAGCTACTGAGCTAGAGGAGGGAGAGGTGCTGGAACTCAGCAGTGACATTTCAGTCTCCACTAATGACCTGATCAGAAGGCCCAGCGCTCTCAAAAAGGACAACATAGAAATCTGTACAATTCCATAATTTTTAATACACGTTGCATAAGCAGAAACCCTGTCAGCCTCTCCCAGTCCCGTATGAGAGATGAAAAAAATTTCCTGGTGAGGGCTAAAGAAAAAAAAAGGCCTTTGATACCAGGTCTTTTTCTTGCATCTAAATTGTTTCCTGTGCTTGGCAGGAGTTCACCCCCACCCCATGCTCGCTAATCCTGTCGTAATGAATGTAGGGGTTTTTTTCAGTTCGCTGTACATGATTCAACATTGAGTGAAAAAGAGATAACTCTTCAAAATTTCTGGTAGTTGCTGTGTGTTTGTATGGGCGTGTGTGCATGCTTCAAGTGTGAAGAAGATGCACAGGTGGGGAGAACAGGAGGCAGGTCAGGTGATGGGAGCTGGAGCAGCCAAACATTTTGTCTTCTCTTGAGGGAAACACGATGTTGCAGAGCACAGGTGGGTCATGTGGCTGTCCAAACCAGAAATCCATGGAAAAGGAAATGAATAGTAAGCCAGGAGGCAGCAGGGCAAATTTCTTTCCACAATCTTCCTTGTACTGCAAGTTGCTGTGCAGATCTGTAATGGAGTAAGAAATAGTTCAGTGGCCAACAATCAACAGCTTCTGAACAATGTAGGGGTAGAGGTGGTGTTTCCTGCTGGCATGTTTGATGACTCCTTTCCTTCTCATTGCACAGCTCTGTAATATCCTACTCGATCCATGTTCCATGGCCTCTCCTGCAGAGCTTACCTGTCTGTCCAGATGGTGGTGGGAACAAAAGCCTCTTAACCTCAAGCAGAAAACACTTAACAAGGTGCTGTGGGGCTCATAGGAACTGGATAAGGAAGTGGCCATTTTCAGCTGTACTGTTGTGAATCATGCTAAACAAGCAGGAATTTTATTTATACTGATACAAATCTGAGACTGCTTTGTACCCTGGAATATGAGGAAGGGGACACAAAAACTAAGATTTAGACTGTATTGTAGTAGCTATTGCAAGTACCTGATACTGAAAGCATCTGGGCCGTAGTGAGGAGTTTCATTACTGGATGTTTATACCCTTCCCCATTCAACCTACTGATCAGCTTGCACAAAACCTTTTTATAAACCTGTTTGTTAAACTAAAATACCTCAGACAGATTAATCCATCTGCTTGGCTGCTCTGCTGCTCCATTCTGCAAGGGTGGGTGAGAAGACTCCAACAAAAAGGGAGTGAGTGTAAATCAAATTCAGAATTCTAAGGGCTTTGTTTATTCACTTTTGAAAGGGGGCTTCTGTATTTTAGCTTGAACGCTTAACAAGTGTTCTTACAATATCCAGGAGTTTGAGCTACCAATAGCACTAGAAGTGGAAGGAAGAATGCTGGTGGATTAGAGAACATATGAGCTGGGCTTGATATTTCAGAGGAAAGCCCTTGTTAAAATTGGCAAAAAAAAAATCTGTCTGTGGTTTTAGTTCCATATCCTGTAGCATGTACATAAATCCATTTTTCTTCTAATGCTGCTAGTTTGTCTTCCCTCCTATCACTACAGAGAAAGGGGAATATGAAAATTGTAATGGAGAAACTCTTTCAAGATGTAGTTGACAAAACCTTCAGCGTTTTTGTATGAACGTGGCTGACTTTTTACTCCACTTACTGCCTCCAAACAAAAATCATAGAGGATTTTTAACCAGAGGAGAAAAAGAACTTCCCAGGAATATAAGGCGCAGCAACCACAGACTTCCACAAATACTAATTTCTAGTATTAATATTGGGGGGTGTGGGGGTGGAAATGAAATCATGAATGAACCTTTCATTTTCTTCACTTGTTTTTCCAATGCATCTTTTAATTTGTAAAGAAATAAAAATATATTAAGATGTATTTTATGTCATTGCTAGTAAATAAACACTGCTTATTTTTCCAAACCCTGTATTTTGCGGGAGGGAGGAAAGGGGAAGGGCTGAAGTCTAGCTGATTGATCCTTCACAATCCAATCTTCTGCTGACAAAGTTCAGTTGTCTTTTTTTTTTTTTGGGTTTCCCCATGTCAAAATACAAAAGAGGTGGTGATCTTTAATCTCAGTGTTACTTTGCTTAGATGATTGGGTTTTAACTTCCTGCCCCTTCTGAACTTGTTTCTTGTAAAGAGCTTTCCCTTTAACAGAGCTTGAGCTGGATTGATTTGGGGTTTTTTGGTCTACTTTGGGAAGTTACCCTTGTGAAAGTGTTAACTTAAAGGACTTCTGCAGTCTGATTTTTCAGAGAAGCAGAGCTCCTGTTTCAGATGGGGTGTAAGTGGAAGCACTGGTGGGATAGGCATGGGGGTGGCAGTCTTTCTGCGTGGACTGGTGTGCCTCTAGATCACACCCGGGCAGTGTCAAGACCTCACTTCTCAAAGGCAAAGCAAAACCACTCCTATGTTTTAACCTGTTCCTATGTTTAACCTGATAGAGAATGCTTCTTTGCTTGTGTTCATACTAATGTCCTCTGTTATGAATTGACAGTTAAAAGTATTGTTGGTGGGATTAAGTTCTCCTAAGGAATTAATTTGAAGCTTTTGGCAATTCCATAACCGAGTAGCAATTCTAGCATATGTCTGTCGGATTTTTATTTCCCATTTACAGTGTGTTTTAAAGCCAAAGGAGTTATTCAAGGTTAGTACAGAAGAGTAGCTTCAAGGCAGCTGTAATTCTCCCTGTCGATCTCAAAGCCAGACAGAGAGAGGATGGAGGTGCGTCACAGGCAGAGAGAATTTGGACCGGCACGGAACTGCCGTGCTGCTGCGGCCCGACCGGCCCGTCCTTGGCCTCGCCGTCCGTACGGACGTGTGCTGCACCGAGACACCGGAGGCTAAAAAAGGCGGGACGGCGACTCCGGCCCT